CTATCGGTGTTGAATATCGTTGCGCGTCGGTCGGAATAGGCGGGGGGTGTCGCCGCATCATCGAAATCGGGGTTGTGACGTCGCCATTGGCGGCGCAGCGACGATTAGGGTTTTCGTGAGATTTCGGGTAAGGAAGACGAAGGAAAACGGGTCAGGTTCACGTTCGGCCTCTGGACCAGCCCACGGGACGAACGCGGGCTCTATGCGTTTCGGCCCAACGCGGACGTGCGCTGCAGCCTTGGTCTCGGCTCCGCACGCGTGCTCTCGGCTCGGCTTGACGTGTACGGCAGCTCGGCGGCTTAATAGGTCGGCTCGGCAGCTCAGCTTGGTGAATCGGTATCACTATAATATATCGATTCCAAGGTTTTTGGCCCTTCTGAAGCCGTTTCTGCCCTTAGTTTTACCATCCGAGGTCAGTATGGCTCCTAAACGTTAAAGACAGATTTGGTCGAGGGTTTATTTTGATAAATAGCATGAGGTTTAGCTAGGGTACCTTATGAAAGGTTCTAAATTTTTATGTGGTTATCATAGGACATATTTAACCACGGGGATTAGCTCGTCGTGAGTGACTTCAACGAAGACCATCGAGGTAAGTGACCTTACTGTTGGAGTTAGCTTTCTACGTGTTGTATGATGGTGCGTGCCCTGTGGCCCCTGCATGCACCATATTTTCTGTGATATGATTATGTGATGTATAGATTGTGTTGAACGTAGATTGTGTATGTTATGTGAAGTATGAACTTGTGTTGACTGTTGACTGTTTATGTTATGTCATGATTGAAATGATAGTATTATATGCCATGAATATGTTGATTGATGTCATAGATACACGTAGAATTATCGAGTCATGTCATGAGATGTTTATGCAACTAGAATGTTTATGTAATATGCCATGTAATGTAAGTCATGTGAGATGCCATGTGATGTAAGAAACATAAATGCGATGTTAGCACTGCTTATGTAATGCCATGTTAGATATGTTAAGGGACCTCATGCATATATGTATGTCACGTGCATCGGGATTCTTCCCCTTTATGATACGAAAGAATGAAATACGATATTTATGTTCGCCATGATATCATGCGGGCCCTTTTCTATTTTGTGGTGTCCGGCTACGTGTAACACGTTGTGCCCGACCAAGTCAGGCCCAGGGGGTACGTATGAGAGCCCGCCTGGTGGGTTCATATACACGTACATGGGCCATGTGTGAAGGAGTACCACACATCCAACCCTACCCGGAATAGAAAAGCGCCCAAGGCTATGAAAAGTTTATGAAAAGTTAGGTCCCGCTCATATGATGCATGTGTTTGCATTCCTAACCCCAACAGTGGGGTGACTTACTGAGTATTTCATAAAATACTCAAGCCACGTGCTACCTACATTATTCAGGTAAAGGCAAGGCGCCAATGTACGGTTGACGGTGGAGCTGAGGCCACCATGGAAGTTGGAGACGTGATATTTTTAGGAGTTTACTTTCATTAGATTGTTTTAAGTTATAGGATTGAGTATCGTTTTATTTGGATTTATTTTGAATTCAGTATTAAAGGTTCATTTTCGGAGTTTAGGTTTTGTTTTGGATTCATGAATTTTTATGAAAGACTATTTCAAGGTTATTCATGATGAGCTTCCGCTTAATGAGATAAGTATGCATGGGTGACGTCACTAATTAGGTTAAAGAAAATTAGGGGCGTTACACAAAAATTATATTATAGGATCGAGATGCTTGCTTCAACCCATAAATGGATCTTTTAAGCTTGCAAACCCTTTGCTCGTGATCCTGTTCAATGAACCCCTCTGGTTGAGCCATATAGATACTCTCTTCAAGATTGCCGTTTAGAAAGGCTGTCTTAACATCCATTTGCCAAATTTCATAATCATAAAATGTGGCAATAGACAAGAGTATTCTAATCGATTTAAGCATAGCAATAGGAGAGAAGGTTTCTTCATAGTCTACCCCCTCTCTTTGGGTATAACCCTTTGCTACTAGTCGAGCTTTAAAGGTTTGTACCTTACTGGTTTGGTCTCATTTCTTCTTATAGATCCATTTGCAACCAATAGGTTTTACCCCATCTGGTTGATCTACAAGTTTCCATACTGAATTGAAGTACATTGACTCCATTTCAAGATTCATGGCTTTAATCCACTGATCTCTTTCTTCATCATTTATTGCTTGTTTATAGGTCAATGGATCCTCAACGCCATCATCAGGTATGGTGACTTGAGTTTCTGCCAAACCCAAGTAATGATCGGGTTGAGTTATAATCCTCCCACTACGTCGAGGAATTCTCAACTCCTGAGAAGGATGTGATTGACCAGAAGTGTCTGCTTCAACAACAACTCTGTCAGAGGACCAGCTTGATCAATAACTCTTGTTGTTTTATCAGTAGCTTCTTTAGAAATCTCACTTAATACTAGTTTGCTGCGAGGTTGAAGATTTCTTACGTGGTCTTCCTCTAAGAATGTAGCGTTTGTTGATACAAACACTCTATTTTCCTTTATCTACTTTTTGAACCTTGTGTTTGCGGTTAGTAGGAATCTTATTTTTCCCTTTACCCTTCTTCTTCATCAAAACACTTTTAGAAGTTGAAGGTCTAGACTTATTTTTAGAGTACGATCATCGTAGTAATTTCTTGGAGATAGAACCATTTGCTTCTCCTGTTTGTCCCTGGTTCATTAAGAGGGACTGATAAGTCTGTAGCGCATTGAGAAGAGCAGTCAAGTTATATTCTATTTTGTTCATTACCACATTTGTGCGAAACTGGAAGAAGCTCTTCGGAAGAGACATCATGATAAAACTGACTTGACTCTTCTCATCAATGACAGCTTCATTTTCTTCTGCCACATTGAAATGGATCATCATGTCCAGGACATGTTCTCTAATTGAGGTCCCTTCTTTCATACGGCAGTTGTAAATGTATTTTATGGTTTCATGTCGAAGGGAGAAGGACGGTTGTCCAAACATCCTTTTTAGAGATTCCATAATCTCTTTAGCAGTACCCATAACATCGTGTTTCTTAGCCAAAACATCAGATATGCTGGCTAGAATGTACACTCGAGCTTTGTCATTTGCCTTTATCTATCTGCCATACGCATCCCGAACTGTTCAGTTTGCATTTGAGCTGGGGTTTGAAGAAAATTCCTCAGTTAAAACAAACCTTAAATCATCAATTACCAGTATTGTGTTTAGGTTTGATTTCCATGTTGCGTAATTGTCCCCGTTTAATTTCTCAGAAGCGAGTAATTGTACTATTGAGTTTGTCATGTTGTGATATAAAGAAAATTCTATTAGTGATTTGACTTAATCCTGTTTAATCCAATCAATTTTAGCAAATGTAATAATGTACCCAAAAATTATTAATTTCCAACGATACTTTAGTGAGTTAGAGCAACTGCTACCGAGTGGCATTCAATCACTCATTCACTAATCCCAGAATAACTCTTGTTCCTATAGTGTTTTTAGTTATCGCTATTTTGGTCAAGAATATACTAAATCTTAGTAATTCTTCGTAAGTATGACCCGCCATTTTCAGACCTTATAGATCAGTCCCAACAATGCTATCGAACGAAAAAGCCAAAGTTGGGAATGGACCTAAGAAATCCTATCCATTTCTGGAGTTTGCGTTGTTTCGACTCCCATGTTACGACCCTCCGAATGGGTAGTTGCTCTAGGGCAACATGCAGGTGGAACATGGGAATCTCACGCTGCAACCTAGTGGTGGAGACCATAGGACGTGTTGATATACTTCCTTCTCTCACTTACTATAAATACTTTCTCTACTGACCTTGTTATTGACTCATGCAAATACCTTCCGAATGAAGGACGCTTCCAAGGCAACACGAGGCCGAGCATGAATCTCACGGTGTGAATTTTCCAGAGAGCGTAAAAGGAAAACGATGTATCTCATATATCTTTTTCCTCCCACTGAGTATTTTAGACGGTTGGGTATACTTATTACTTAGGTATATTCCGGCTAATTAAATATAACTTAAGTCTAGGTGATTTTTCTAAAACTTATATTACCTAAGCATGCTGATAAAACTGGGTTAACTAAGCTCAAGTACTGGTCCGATCTCTAGGTAGTAGGTGTTCCGTAAACCGTCAACTTAAGTACCTCCAGCCTTAGACAAGATTGTGTCAGGTGAGCTTTCTCGTAACTGCAATTTTGTAAGACATCGACCTATTTTAACTATTAAAATTGATCGTGCTCGGTTCTTAACCCTAAGTGAGCATGCACTTATCTTTATTATAGATTTTAACGTCTATCTCGTTTTATGACGTTGAAAATAACCTATAACATGCATTTAACATGCTTTATATAACAATTATATAATCATCCATTCCATGCAATAATATAACCATTTATATCTATCCATTCCATGCTCTGATACCAATTGATGGTGTTAATATAACACATGTGGAAGCAATTTGGATCTTAGGCACTTTTAGAACATCAATTATAGTAAATAACTAGCATGTTTATAAGTATTAAAACTTAATGAGTTTGAATACTAACCTTTTGTAGTTCAAATTCTTTTTTCCTCACGAACCGGTTTCGAACCACCACTAGTGTCTTCTCCACTATCCTCCGGCTTTAGAATGGGATTGTGGAATCCGGTGAGTGACTAAACTTGGGAGGGATTTTGTATATATGAAGAGAGTGTTTGTGAGATGTTTTTCTAAAGGTTTTTTTACCAAGAAGACCTTTCATGTACCATGATCACTCTATTTATAGAGTCATGTTTGCATGTTCATGCAAATATGAGATCACCAAATTTTGACACTCAAAATTCCACTCAAATGTTTGGGATTATGTGGCAAGCATGCATGTTTGAGTTAACCAAATTTTGACACTCAAAATTCCACTCAAACTTGTGGGGTTTATTTGGCAAGCATGCAAGTTTGGTTAAACCAAATTTTGAAACCTCAAAATTCCACTAACCTGGATTTTTCCATTAAATGAAGTCAACATTTTGACTTTCTTCATTTTAATTCAACAATTAATTTGAATAATTAATTTTAAATTAAAGTAATATTAAATGATTAATTAAACTATTTAATTAATATTTCATATTAACTCAAAAGCCAATCCCAATCAATTCCGACACATATTTGATTAAAATATTTAAAACTTATTTAAATATCTCAAATTCTCTCTTTTTGTTTAATTCGTAAATAAAACAAAAATGCGGTTAAATATATCGTATATATGTAGCGCATATTCCCTAATTTGAATTCGAACACTTCGAAGTCACTTGTCACACTAGTCTATTGTTTAGTCTGATATGAGCTAGTAGAAGGACCTAATGGACCTATAGATCATGGGATCCAATGATCCAAGATTAACCGGTTAAACTCATTAACCTTGTTAATCCGCAACATTCGTTAACTACTAGGACACTCCACTATAGCCTAGTAGTTGCACTCCCCTCACTATAGATATATTTCTGTCCATTTGATATAACCATGATTAGTAAGTCGATCCTTCACAGGTTGTTCGTAGCTAAAGCTGGGTCAATTAGCCGTTTTACCCCTGAAGTTGCTTCTTGTTCCTTATATCCCACTGATCCTCTTATGAACAATTGGTTTGTGGTCCAACCAGTAAACCGAATCCCTCTCACGCCAATGGGTGGGTGGGGCCCCTTGATAAAGACCTGGAGTTAGTACTTAAGGGAACTACCTCTCTTCTATCCTTAAAAGTTGGTAGGAGCGAATTCCATCTTGCACCCCATGTCCCGAGCTATTCACCTAGTCTTACCCCTGGAATTGGAGGCCTATTGAGTCGGCAAACTCGAGCCACTCTCACCCATGCAAATCTAAGGATAATTCCGAATAAACAGGAGTTCATGGTTAGCTCAGGATTAAGATTGAGTTACCTAGGTCATCAAATGAAAAGAAAATCAGTCTTAACAGTAAACGACATTATAAAGTGAGAGTGGTTTTCTTCATGGTCCGATCTTATGCAATACTCATTGCATAGGATGCCCCCACTCACATGTCTCCACATGTACAATCTAGTGATCACATTGTTTATATCATATACAAAAGTAGGCCGCATCCATAGTGTCCCCAGAATAAGATACTCAGCCTTATCCTTATACTATAGATCATTTTCACTATATACTTGAACTTGATCCACTCTTATGTCTCTACATATAGTTCAAGTAATCATCCTATAGCTAGAATGTTCTTAGTTTATTGGATTTAGATTAATGATCGTAAAATTCACTTTATTCAATAACAATCTTTACTGAATAAACAACAATAATAACTTTATTGAAAATAGAATATGTTTTTGTTTACAAACTATGAGTTTTAGGACATTAAACCCAACAAGATCGAGCTTGGCGAGGTGGGGACGCGTTAAGTTCATGTATGCGACGCAGCCAAACACGCGGAGATGATGTACAGTTGGCTTTTTGTTGTACCAGGCCTCATATGACGTCTTCCCGTCAAGGCATCGGGTTGGTGACCGATTGAGGAGATAGACGGTCGTCATTACCGCCTCTCCCCAGAATCTCCCAAGCATCTCAGCCGTCTCAAGCAATGACCTTGTTGTCCTGATGATGGTCTTATTTTGGCGCTCTACCACTCCGTTCTGTTGGTGTGTCTTTGTATGCCGAACTCGTCGCAGTACTTACTGAAACTTACCGAGGTGATTTCTTGGTCTCGGTCTGTGTGCAGCACTCGCATCTTCTTTTCACATTCGGCCTCTGCTCGTGCTTTAATGCACTTAACTGCCTCTGCCGCCTCACTTTTCGCTTGCAGCAGGGTCAGCCACATGAATCTGCTTTTGTCATCGACTAACAAAAGGAAGAGACTCTTACCGCCTAGGGTCGCTGGCTTGATGGACCTGCAGATATCACCGTGTACAAGCTCCAGTGGCTCATCGGCGCGGTAGGATGTTTGAGATGGAAAGGGTGTGCGCCTTTGTTTGTCGATGAGGCACCCGTCGCACAGCTTGTTCACGCCTTTGATTGCCGGCAAACCGTGCACCATCTCCTCCTTCTGTAGCTTTTCTAGAACAGGAAAGTTTAAGTGCCCGTACCTTGCGTGCCACCTCCAAGATACCTCTTCGGTCTTGGCCGAGAGGCTGACAGGTTGCTCTATCTCTAACTCCAGGATGTAAAGATAGTTTGTCGTGCGCCGAACTTGTGTGAGCAGCTGTCGTCGATCATCGCAGATTTTAAGTAGCCAGTGCTCGATAGAAATGAAGCAGCCTGCCTCATTGAGTTGACCTAGGTTCACAAGGTTAGCCTTGAGCCTCGGGATGAAGTAGACGTCGGTCAGCTTGCGGTGCTCGCCTTCTTTGCTGACGAACAGGATGGTGCCGCGCCCTTCGATCTCGACGACAGAGCCATCGCCGAATTTCACTGTCCTACAAATCCACGAGTCGAGCTCGGAGAACGCAAATCTAGCCCCGGTCATATGGTTTGTTGCCCCTGTATCGAGGATCCATCACCAGTGCTCATGCTGCTCATCCCCTCGCCGATCTGAGTGAACACCCACTCCTCCTTCAGTTGAAGTGACTCCCCAGCTTGTGCCGCCTTTGCTACGCCGAGTTGGAGCTCTTCCTCGGGTTCGACGTCGTTGCCGATTACCTCCACCTCCGTGGAATTGAAATAAAAATTAGGGACGTATGCACTTACAATGAAGAGAGTTGGCTCATCCTCCTCGGATTGAGCCACATGGGCCTTCTCGGCCTTCTCCTTGTTCCTGAGCTTGCTTCAACAATTCTTGCTCAAGTGACCTCTCTTCTCACAGTTCGAGCACTAGATCGGCCTGCCATCGGTCGAATCCTTCTTTTGATCCCCATCTTTCCCGCGCGTGCGCCCGTGGGACTTCCATGGCTTTTTACCACCTTTGCGGCTGGAGGGCCCATTGATTAGTAAGTCGATCCTTCACAGGTTGTTCGTAGCTAAAGCTGGGTCAATTAGCCGTTTTACCCCTGAAGTTGCTTCTTGTTCCTTATGTCCCACTGATCTTCTTATGTCCCACTGATCTCTTTATGAACAATTGGTTTGTGGTCCAACCAGTAAACCGAATCCCTCTCATGCCAATGAGTGGGTGGGGCCCCTTGTTCAAGACTTGGAGTTAGTACTTAAGGGAACTACCTCTCTTCTATCCCTAAAAGTGGTTAGGAGCGAATTCCATCTTGCACCCCACATCCCCAACTATTCACCCAGTCTTACCCTTGAAATTGGAGGCCTATTTAGTCGGCAAACTCGAGCCACTCTCACCCATGCAAATCTAAGGATAATTCTGAATAAACAGGAGTTCATGTTTAGCTCAGGATTAAGATCGAGTTACCTAGGTCATCGAATGAAAAGAAAATTAGTCTCAACAGTAAACGACATTATAAAGTGAGAGTTGTTTTCTTCATGGTCCGATCTTTTGCAATACTTATTGCATAGGACGCCCCCACTCACATGTCTCCACATGTACAATCTAGTGATCACATTGTTTATATCATATACAAAAGTGGGCTGCATCGATAGTGTCCCTAGAATAAGGTACTTAGCCTTATCCTTATACTATAGATCATTTTAACTATATACTTGAACTTGATCCACTCTTATGTCTCTACATATAGTTCAAGTAATCATCCTATAGCCAGAATGTTCATAGTTTATTGGATTTAGATTAATGATTGTACGGTTCACTTTATTCAATAACAATCTTTACTGAATAAACAACAATAATAACTTTATTGAAAATAAAATATGTTTTTGTTTACAAACTATGAGTTTTAAGACATAAAACCCAATAGGATCGAGCTTGGCGAGGTGGGGACGTGTTACGTTCATGTATGCGACGTAGTCGAACACGCGGAGATGATGTACAGCTGGGTTTTTGTTGTACCAGGCCTCATATGGCGCCTTCCCGTCGAGGCTTCGGGTTGGTGACCGATTGAGGAGATAGACGGCCGTCATTACCGCCTCTCCCTAGAATCTCCCAGGCATCTCAGCTGTCACAAGCAATGACCTTGTTTCCCGACGATGTTTTGATTTCGGCGCTCCACCACTCTGTTCTATATGGGGGAGTAGGACGCTGTTAGGTGTCGTTGTATGCCAAACTCGTCGCAGTACTTACCAAAACTTGCTGAGGTGAATTCGCTACATCGGTCTATGCGCAGCACTCACATCTTCTTCTCACATTCGGCCTCTACTCGCGCTTTAATGCGCTTAACCGCCTCTGCCGTCTCACTTTTCACTTGAGCAGGGTCAGCCACATGAAGCTGCTTTTGTCATCGACTAACAGGAGGAAGAGACTCTTACCGCCTGGGGTTGTCGGCTTGATGGGCCCGCAGATATCGCCGTGTACAAGTTCCAATGGCCCATCGGCGCAGTAGGATGTCTGAGATGGAAAGGGTGTACGCCTTTGTTTGCCGATGAGGCACCTGCCACACAGTTTGTTCATGCCTTTGATTGCCGACAAACTGTGCACCATCTCCTCCTTCTGTAACTTTTCTAGAGCAGGAAAGTTCAAGTGCCCGTACCTTGCGTGCCACTACCAAGATACCTCTTCAGTCTTGGCTGAGAGGTTGACAGGTTGCGCTATCTCTAACTCCAGGATGTAAAGACAGTTTGTCGTGCACCGAACTTGCGTGAGCAGCCGTCGTCGATCATCACAGATTTTAAGTAGCCCGCGCTCGATGGAAATGAAGCAGCCTGCCTCATCGAGTTGACCTAGGCTCACAAGGTTAGCCTTGAGCCTCGGGATGAAGTAGACGTCGGTCAGCTTGCATACTCACCTTCCTTGCTGACGAACAGGATGGTGCCGCACCCTTCGATCTCAATGACGGAGCCGTCACCAAATTTCACCGTCCAGCGAATCCTCGAGTCGAGCTTGGAGAATGCAGATCTAGCCCCGGTCATATGGTTTGTTGCCCCTATGTCGAGGATCCATCGCTGGTGCTCATGCTGCTCGTCCCTCTCGCCGATCTGAGTGAACACCCGCTCCTCCTTCAGTTGAATGGGCTCCCCAGCTGGTGCCGCCTTTGCTACGCTCAGCTAGAGCTCTTCCTCGGGTTCGCCGTCGTCGTCGATTACCTCCACCTTCGTGGATTTGGAATCGAAATTAGGGACGTATGCACTTACCATGAAGAGTGCTGGCTCATCCTCTTCGGATTGAGCCACATGGGCCTTCTCGACCTTCACCTTGTTCCTGAGCTTGCTCCAGCAATTCTTGCTCAGGTGACCTCTCTTCCCACAGTTCGAGCACTAGATCGGCCTGCCATTGGTCGACTCCTTTTGATCTCCATCTTTCCCGCGCGTGCGCCCGTGGGATTTCCATGGCTTCTTACCACCTTTGCGGCTGGAGGGCCCATTGCTCGCGCCAGTGTTGTCGTGGAGCTTTAGGCGTGTAAGTCATTCCTCCTCCGTGAGGAGTAGACGGCCCTCCTTATCGATAGCTGAAGCGGTATTTTTCTTTTGCTGCTCGATGTTACGCAGTCTTCCGGTCACCTCTTCCACTGTTAGGTCGTTCACGTCGAGCAATGTCTCGATTGAAATCGCGAATTGCTCGAGGTGATTGGGGACGATCTGCAACATCTTTTTCACGATTTCTGTCTCGCTGATGCTGCCACCGAGAGTGGTGATGCTGTTGGCGAGCCCCGTGATCCGCATTGAAAAATCATTGACGGATTCGCCGTCCTTAAAGTGGATCTCCGAGAGCTCCTTCCGCAGCTGCTCGATGTTGGATTCTCGCATTCGCTGTACACCGACCCAACGGGATTTGATTCCTTTCCAGGCCGATTGCGCGGTACGCTTGGTGGAGAGAGACGCCAGCATCTCTGGGGGAACAGATCGTAATATGGCGGCGAATGCCAGCCGATCCTCCCGGTACTCGATCGTTTCTCCTTCTTCTTGCTTGACAGCATGCCATAACCCTTGCGCCTGTAGGTTGACGCGCATCAACAAGGCCCACTCGTTGTAGTTGGACCTTGTCAGCATTGGGTACTGAACGGTGGCGATCGTCGTCTCCCTGATCACTCGCTCAACGACAACTCAATGCCCCTCATCACGGCGTCGACCTCTTTGTTGAGGTGATGGAGATCCTGACACACGACGGCGGCGTGGAGGAGTGAGTGAGCCTGCCCGGGATGGACCTCACGATGTGTGTATTTTCGCGCTTTTCATTTTCTTCTACTCGAAACCTGAGACCTGTGTTTTTTTATGTATTGACCCTAAATTTTCACATACTCAGAGTCGTTACTAACGTCTCATGATCATCTATAATGCAGAAATATAACTCTTACATGAACATTATCGATAACGTAAACTTTAAAAAAACATTTAAAACAACTTCTTCTCTGGAAAACACAGCCATGGTCTTACGTGTTTAAATAAGAAATACTAAAATTTAGAGGAAAAAAAAATAAATACAAATACAAAATAATTTAAAACAATGAAATGCAAAACATCCTGTTCTAACTTAAGACTAGAAATTTAAATATGAATCTACCCTATGCACGTGCCACAGTCTCTGCTCGCGATGCTGCCGTCCTTCGTACAAGTGCGCCTTGCCTTTACCTAAAAAATGATGTGGCACACGGCCTGAGTATTTCAAAGAATACTCAGTAAGTGGCCCCACTATAGGGGCGATGCAAATGCAAACACATGCAATCATGATTTAGGGACCTATCTCTAGTCATCTTAGGGGTGGCCTCCAGTCTCGGACAAATTGGATGTGCAGTACTTCCCTACACACGATTCACACGTGCGAGTGTGAATCTCCAGGGCGCTCGCACACCCCCTGGACCCTCTGGTCAAGCTAATCTGTAGCGACGTCCGGAGGTCAGCGGAACCCCATAGTGTCATGCGCCTCATGAACACCCTTATCTGTGTGCGTTCGCACCTGTGCGCATTCGCGCTCGTCATACGGTGCGCGTCCGCACTCATCATCTCTAGGGGAAGTAGCCCTATACTTATGAACATACAATATGCATGAGGTCCCTCTAAATCCATCATAATGTCTCTTCTGACACAACCCTCTAGTCTCATCTCTTTGTTACTCTAGGTAACACATACTCGTCAATATTTATATTAATATCATTTTCACGCTCTTAGGGTTGTGTCCTATGTCGATCTAACGATATGATGCAATATGGCACTCATCATCATATAGCAAGCTCAATATGGAAAGCATCATCATATTAAGGTAAACGTCACGCAATCATCATACTCATCATATTGCCACAAAGTGCACCAAACATATCAAGTACGACATTCATCAAAATATATATATACTGAGCACATCATCAAGTATCATAATCCACACATCATCATAACTCATACACCGCATCGTACGACATAGTTCATACATCATCGTAACTCATACAATTTTTAGCCTATCCTATAGTAAGGCAACTTACTTGGTTAGCTTATACGGGTGTCACCAATTTATCCTTAATGAAAGTTCGATTTTTCCCTTTATATCTAAGCCAACCTATATGAATCCATGGCATCAATTTCATGTTTAATTCTCTAACTCTTACAATGGTTCATGTGCTAAACTTCATGCGAGCATTAAAAACTTTGCATGGATAAAGTCTTGGAACGTTATAATATACATCTAAATATATATACATCTAAATATATATACATATTATATATATACATATTATATATATATTCTATTTATATTAAGATTTCATTTTCTGTTTTTTATTTCGACTGACTACTTCCTTATCTTCTGATATTCTTCCTATACTCTGCTCTATCTCTCAATTTTTGTTCCAGACAAATTCTTGACCAATTTTTTAATCGATTC